TTTTCGTGTCTGTGCAATTGTCTGCTGTGTGGCTCTTCTGCAGTTTACCTATCCATTTCTTCTTTGATGGATATCTGTATTGTTTCCAGCTTTGGGTTATTATGAATAAAGCAACTGTGAATATTCTTGTATATGCCTTTGGTAGAAACATGTACTCATTTCTCTTAACTATACCTAAGAGTGAGATTGCTAAGTCTTGGAGTCATGTGTAGCTTTAGTCAATATTGACAAATAGTTTTCCCAAGTGGTTGTACCAATTTGCACTCACCTAAAATGCATGGGAGTTTTGGTTGCTCCACACTCTAGTCAACAATTGATACTATCTTAATTTTAACCATTCAGGGTATATAGTGATACTTCACTGTGGTTTTAATTTGTGCTTCCCTCATGAGTAATGAAGCTTTGAGTACCTTTCAAGTGCTTATTTGCTATATGGTTATCTTCTTTTCTGAGGCACCTCTTCAACATTTCTACTCATTTAAAAAATTGAGTTTTATGCCTTTTACTTACCAATTAGTATTTCTTTATATATTCTGAATATAAATTCTTGCTCAATATGTATTATGAATATTTTCCCCCAGACTATGGCTTGTTCTTTAGTTCATCTTTTCACTTAATCGTGTCTTTGATGAACAGAAATTCTTAATTTCAATGAAATCCCATTTGTCGATTCTTTTTTCATATATAGTGTTTTGGGGGTCCTATTTAAGTAATCTAAGAAATCTTTCTGTACGCTGATGGCCTTGCATTCTGAGAGGAAGGAGGCCATGTCTGAAGAGCCTCATTCTTTAAAGTTTTAACAAATATTAGAGCACGAGTGCCTTTTCCAGCCTTTCAGGTTACACCCTGGGCTCTATTGTCCGCACAACAGTACGAGCAACCCTCAAATGCAATGTGGCACAGATTGTCTGGCTTGTTCAGAAGGCAAGGAGTTACACTTAATTTAGTCTCTACAGAAGTAGGACTGGCACAAGCCCCACAGGCCAGACATTTAACCCAGAGGACTCCAAAGCCAGGCAAGATCCTAAGAGCAATTTCTTTCTGATAGGAGGAATTTGCGCTTATTGCCCAGTTTTACATGTGTCATTTATACAACATGTAAAAGCATCATCTTATGAGTTAAGTCTTTACAGGAATTCCTGGCTTGCCCTAGTTTTTTTAGTGAGCGGGAAAGAACCACTCTCTTGACTCTTCTTGTCAAAGCAAGACTCTGTTACCTGCCACAGAACTAGCAGTCCCTGACAGCAACTGGCAGACACTAAAGATATGAGGAGAGAGGTAGTGTGTGAGCAGACAGCTAAAACAGGCAATAAAAAGTCTGAGAAAAGAAGAGTAACAGTGGGGGAAACTTCACTTTTTCTGAATACTTTAGACATTAAAGGATCTCAGTGTGGAAAACTGTTCAGAGGCCACTGCAACTGTCTAAGTAAGATACAATTGGGATGTATGTAGGCAGTGACAAAGGCGAGGATGGTTGTAAAAAGACATCAGCAGAAATAATCCAAATGAAGTAAGTGAAACCTTGTCCAAACGTGAAGGTGTATTTGCATATGTGAAGTTTTCTCTTATCCAGTCACACTCAAAATTCCCTACCTATGGCCCACTTGGTACCATTAAAATTGCTAAAGCAGGCCTTTGCCAAGCCAGTAACATAAATAAGGAAAGCACACTTGGACTACGACATCAAGGAGAGGCCCTGGCCAGTGTGGCTCAGTTGGTTGGAAAGTTGTCCTATAACCTAAATGTTGCAGGTTCAATTCCCAGTCAGGGCACATAAATGCCTAGTTTCAGGTTCAATCCCCAGTCCTGGTACATGCAAGAGGCGACTGATCAACGTTTCACTCTCACTTCTCACATCGATGCCCCTAACCCCACCTTCCTCCCTCTCTAAAAGCAATAAAAAAAATATCCTCGGGTGAGGATTATAAAAAAGACATTAAGAAGTGGTGGGACCCATAACACTTCCTAAAGATTTAAAGAGGAATTCATGACTCAGTTCACCTGACTGTTGCCACATAAGAATAAAGGTCCAATGACAACAAATCTTTTCACTTTTTCAAGAGATATTAGAAATTGTGATCTTTCTGTGTAACTTTCCAAACACTACTATATCATGTACACCAAACAAAATACCTCTGTGAGTTTACTCTGGCCTATGGGCAATGGGTTTACAATATCTGTTCTAAAGCTTTGCAGCAAGATAAATAGCACGTGCAGGTTTCCAGGGTTAGAAGACCAAGAAACTTGAAAAGCTAATGTGCAGACAAGGGACTGGACCAGGAGACAGTAAAAAGAAGTTTAACTTTTAGCAGCAAAAAGTCTAAAGACTCGGAGTTGGACTAACTTCAGAGTTGGACAGGTCTTTATTAGAAAAACCTGACAGGAATTATTACAAAGTTCTGTTGCAAGGAGGCGCAGATTAAAAAAACTAGAATGTGCAGGGATCCTAAATGATTAAAAAAGGGTGGGGGATATCTGTCACACACTCACACTATTTTACCTCTGTGTCTTGATTTCCTTATCATTGTAATAAGAATAACAGAACCTACTTCATAGGGCTATCATAATTAAATAAAAATTATTCATATAACTGTCATCCCCTGGCAAGTAATGCTTACCAAAGTTAGCTACCATTTGTTATCATGGAACACTAAGAGGCAAAGGGACCTGGTCAAGATCACACCTGTATTTTGTACCCAGAATGTATGGCTTCAGATCCTACGCTCTAAATAAACCATCAAGCTCTTCAGCCTCCCCTCGCCTTGCTGGGCTAGATCAGTACAATGAGGACGTCAGACCAGATGAAAACTGAATTCCCTTCTAGAGCTGACATTTATTATTCTACCAGCCAGCCCTCTAACCAGCTTATTTCATGGTAGCAGTAAGAAAAACATAACCCTGCTCACACTTCTATGGATTACCAAGCTAAAGTAGGGAAGTAGAGCTTAGGCTTGGGGTAGGTCAAGCTAGGACATAGCCCCCTTATTGATCCTTGGTGATTATGTGTATTTCTAGGGGACCAGCAGGCCTCTTGAGTAGGCTAAAAATTCATTCACATGAGCAACCTCTTACAAGCTAGAAGTCACCTATTAGCCTGCTAAGAAACCACAATAAGCTCTAAATCTAAAATCTTTAGAACACCAAGTGACTCTTATCCTCTTGGGCGTCAAGGGCCTCCATGAGAACCTATTAAATGCTCTTTCCCCATCCTTGGCGGGGGGTGTGGTGGGGTGAGGGGAATACTATGCATGCTCATTCAGATAATAAAGCACACACAATTTTACCTGCAATAATAAGGGGTTCACGAATTACCTAAAATCTTTCCCTAGACTTTAAGTATCCCTGGTTCCAAGCTTGTCCTTCCAGGGGATTCAGAATTGCCCCAAGATCTGGGCTGGAGTTTCTAGGCAGCTGTGTTTAGGAGACAAATCATATATTGCAGACTAGGCATAACGAATCATGCATGGAAAAGACAAAGGGACCCTTCTTCCTTCCCCCACACCAACTTGTACTGAGAGAATTCAAACAGAGAAGATCTGTAATTTAATCCCCAAACACCAGGGGATGAAGAACAGGACCCCAAGAATATTTCATGCCCCTTTTCTGATTCCTACCCATAAAATCACATAGGATCTCAGAAGAATTGAAAGGAACAAGTAAAAACATCCTAGTCTCCATGGCACCGTGATCCTCCTTTCATAAGAAAGGAATCAGTCAAGATTGCCAATTAGCCTTATTAGATGACTTTTCCCCCAGTATGGGCTTTGAAAACTATAGGTACCAAAGAAACCATATCATCTCAACCATAACTGAAGAAGTAATCAAAACAAGATATTTTCCTCCCGTAAGACTAGCAACAGCTTAAGTCTTGGTGAGAGACTGTAGAAACATGTGAATTCATACACAGTTGGTGGGCTTATAAATCAATAGTCTTTGGTGGTGTTGGTGGGCTTATAAATCAGTAATCTTGGGTGGTGGTGGGACATTTGACAGTTTTTATAAACCATGTAAAAACATACACCTTCTGATGCAGCAACTCCCTACAGATATTTCTGCAAAGGTGGCTGAAGATAGATGGGCAACCAGGTTCAATGTTGCACTGTCTATAACAAGAAGTCCTGACTGTTGGGTATGTCATATAAATGAAATAGCAAGTAGCCATTTAAAAAATGTGCTAAGTCTGGCCCTAACCAATGTGGCTCAGTTGGCTGGACATCATCCCACAAAGTGAAAGGTCACCAGTTGGATACCCCATCAGGGCACACTGCCTGGGTTGCAAGTTTAGTCCCTGGTCGGGTCATGCACAAGAGGCAACCAACGGATTGACGTCTCTCTCTCAGCATGGATGTTTCTCTCTCTCCCTTCCCCTCTCTCTTAAAACAAATAAAGATCTTTTTTTTAAAAAAGCAGTAGGTCCGTAAGTGCTGCTATAAGATTCCCAATACATAACTTAAAAAATGTTGAGAAGAGTAGATATTATGCATGATTCCTTTAGCCTAAATTTTTTGAAGGACACACATACATGCTATTATATGTAATAAGTTATGTTCTTGGAAACACATAAGAAACTGTTCATCATGGTTACCGCTGGAGACAGTGACTAGAGATCAGGAAAGAGAACCATACTGATGTACAAACATTTAGAAAACACGCTGGTAACAGATTTAAAAAAAAAAAACAAAACAAAACCTCCCAGAAACCTGGGGCTGAAGAGAGAAAGCAGTACTGAATGAAGGGAGGTTCTCACTACTACTTCATATATTTGCCTAGAATTGACCTTGTCTATAACCAGACTCCTCCTTAACAAGGAGTATGATTTCTCATACTGCCTGTCCCTTGGGAAGGCAGCTTCCCTGGCTTCAGAGACATTAGCACATGTTAGGAGATGTCCAATTGAGATCAACTGCCAAGCAGTTTCTCACAGCTCTTGCTGGCTGATCACATTACCTGAAAGTTGAGGTGGGAAAAAGTGTTAACACCTTATGAATGAAGAAGCTTACCTCTGAGGTTTCCGAATATCCCAGAGTCCTACTCCTTCCTTTGAATTGGCTGTGGCCAATAACCTGGGCTCCACAGGGTTAAACATGACACTGTGAAAGGCTGACGGATAGTTTGCCAGGCAGAAGGGCTCTGTGAAGAAAGAAACTACTATCAGTCCATTTTGGGCACCTCTGGGCCAAGGGCGGGCAGACCGGCAGGAATGTGATGCGAGGAGGAGCACACCCTCTAATAACCATGCCAATGGGCTGGAACCCCAGCTTGGTCACCTTTATGCACAAGGTTCTCACAAGTCCTAGCATACACTTTCCACACATAGAAAAAAGCAACTTAAATATATATAAACAAACTTTAAGCTATAATATTCAGAAATACATATAGCACCTATTCAGATTTTATGAGGCAGATGATCACTGTAAAAAGGAATTAACCTGTTTTGCAGTAAGTAAAACTGAATTCCAAATGAGCTGAAAAAATTCACGACCAATTACTGGTAGGATTATTATACCTTAATCCAAATTTATGAGTTTTAGAAATTAAAAGTTTTAAAACTATATAAAAATGTATATAGTTTTAAAAGCAAAAGAGTAAGAAAAATTAAGCCGAATAAAAGTAATAGTTTTCTCTTCTGGTCATATTGCTCCCTAAATTGAAAAGAAAGTGGTCTCTGTCTAGAATTTTATTATTTCATTCCCAGTATTACAATACTTTAACAACAAGAAAAAGACACCTACCTACCACTTGAACTGGCATCTAGCCAGCTTCTAATCAGCTTCACCTAGAAACCCAGCAGCCCTCTGACTGTATTAGCTAGCTTCAAGTGAGGAAGGAATTACTTGCTACCTGGGAGGACATACTCCTGTGGAAGTTGTTTAGAAGCAACAGAAAGCATTCTGCAGTCTGTAATTTCCACATGTGACACTTCAGAGGTCCCTGAATGGGGTGGTAGAGGGGGTGGGACTCAGTCATCCCACCCAGCATATGGTTCAGATGAAGGAGAATTTCACCTGCTGAGCACATGGTGACTCCACCATAGCTGTGGCCTGCAGCTACCTCACCTGCCTGACCCTAAGCACAAGCTACAGAAGCTTAAGAGATATAGTCTGAACCTCAATAATGGGCACAGCCCGGCCTGTTAAATGCTCAGAATATAGAATAATAAAAAGACCCAGATCCTACCAGACAAGGCAAGCAGGAAAGTAACTCTATGTACACAGGTATAATTATGACAAAGCTTCACCAAGGGTGGGGATGGGGTGGCACTGAGGGTAGCTTTGGAGGAAAGAGCCCTTGGAGATAGGCAGAGTTACAGAGAGAAATCTCTCTGCAGGAAGTGAGCTGAAAAAAATGCTTTTCCTCAAGAACCTCAGAAAAATTCAACAAAACAATTCTTCATTTTACATTGGAGACTCAACGAACACATTTGGAGAAGGAACTTACCCAGATAATTCCCTGTAAACATATGGTATTTGCCATCATTTTAAGCTCCTTATACACAGTTAGGGTTAGGATGTGTTACTCTTTCAGCAAAATAACAAGCCTGAAATGAGGATTCAAAAAAGTGCACAACACCCCCTTCTCTGTAAATAACCAAGAATGTGCGCATGTCAGAATCCCACACAGAGCTGGCTCTTGCTTGTTAAGCTCTATGACAAAGCAGCACATCTTCTGTTCCTTGGGGCCACTAAACACCAAGATATTGCACTGTTTCCTACAGGTACAAGGGTTTGAGGAGATTCACAGGTGGTTAGAAAGTACTGGCAAGGGGCCTCACTTCTGACTACTTAAGGGTAGGGTGGGACCTCCAGAAACACACATCTATGCCCCTATGTGAGAGTTTCCTCTCCATTTATACTCAGGTTACTCCCACCCAGGTTACTCAGGTCATAAATTGAATCTGCAATGATCTTGACATCACAATCTAACAGCTTTTTGCACAGTGACCCTACCTCCATGAGGAGACTCCCGAATGTCCCAGATGAGAACCCGGCCATCATCTGAGGAGCTGGCAAAAATGTTGTCATTCACTGGGCTCACCGACAAGCCATACACTGCATCTTCATGAGCAAACACATCCAAGGTCTCACTGCTGAGAGACAGAGAGCAGAGAGAGAGGCACACAGGCGCACACATGCACACACACACAAATGGAGAGCATAGTCCCAGCCTCCTAGTTCCTAGGGTAGGATTCCCTTTGATTTTCAGAAGAAAGGCAACCTAACTAAACTCAAAGGATATTATGTTTCCTTTAAAAGTAGGCATTGAACTTACAAGTGAAAAAAAGAAGTACTATTAAAGAGACTTTTTATAGATTTCATGGTAAGTTTGCTTTGTGCACTAAATGAGCATATTTAAAAGTGACTCAACAGATGAGTTCCGCCCTTTCACATACTATAGAATGCCTCTGCTTCTGTACAGATCTGGGGGTGCTGCTTGATTTACAGAAAGTGAGGGATAGCTTTAAAGCAGCCAGGTCTCATGCCAGCTGGGTAAAAGTGGAATCTACTGGCAGTCTGGTATGGTGATAAAAGCTCTGAGGCCAGGTTGCCTAAGATCAGATCCTAGCACCACCTGACTTTAAGTTTCCTCATTTGCAATTGAGATCATACCAGTACTGCCTCTCAAAGTTTTTGTAAGGGTTAAATTAATTAATGTATACAGAGCACTTAGAATGGTGGCTGGCACATAAATCTTACCAATTATTATTATGTTTCCTTCTTTCTCCACTCTCCTTTTAAGTTTAAGTCACCTGAAAGCTTTACTTCATACCAACTTTGCAAATCTTTTTTTCTTTTTAATCAAAATTTTATTTCAAAATTATTATAGAAATCTTCAGAAAGGACAGCTGATTTCGTGTTATTTTTTCAAAAAACAAAAACTAATTTGGTCTACTTTTCATATGAAAAATAGAGTCAATCACCTTCAGATACTAACAATCTATTTACCTTTCAACGTCATGGAGGATAACTTGCTCATCATTTCCTGAAAGGGAAAAAAGTAGACATATGATCATTCCTAGAAAATGTTCCCTGTCCACATTACAATTCAGTATTTTGAGGTTTTTAGGGAAAATTAAGTGTGAACAAAGTCAATGTTAGTAAAAATTAGGAGTGTCAATTAGAAAAAGGATTTTAAAAAAATAAGGATAAGACTTTTTTTTAGAAAATTTTTAAAAGCATAATAGCAACTAGGTATAACATAACTGTTTCCAAAATGTATTATACAGTGTAATGTTTAAAAAAAAAAAAAAAGCTGTGGCCATTAAGGAGAAAAGAAAGTGATTAAGGGCAAATGAATTCAAGCTAGCTTTTCTATTTCTTTAGTTTTTAAACAAAACCACTCATTGACTGTGAGATCTGGAATAGTACCTGTTACTTTTCTATGCCTCAGTTTTTTAACTGCAAAATAGGTTTAATAATCGTACCTACCTCATAGGTTTATTGTGAGGATAAGAGCACATTTGTAAAAGCATTCAGAATAGGACTGAGCACTTCATAAGCCCCCAGTAAATGTTTGCTACTATTCCATCCGCATCATCTCTTATAGTATTAAAATTTGATGATTATTTGATTCTAAATAATGGGAGAGTTTTTATCTCTTGCATTTTTCTTTATCACATCAAGAAACCTAAAAATACTACATTCATTATTATGTGCAGTCCCACCTTCAAATAGTTTATACAGCCAAAAAATAACCTAAATATGAAAAGACAGAAAGTGAAAAACTTCCATTCTATGCTGAAAGCACCACCAATAGTCATTTAAATAGAAAGTAAAATTAGCAGTGGTCCAGGTCATCTTGAACCCCTGGCTCTAAACTCTGTGGGTGCATGCGAAGTAATGGCACAGGAGAGGTGCTGGGGAGGTGAGAAAAATAAGATTTTTCCAGCCCTTGAGAAACTCACAGTCTAACTGCACAAATCATTAACAAGACAGGTTATCTTCTCGTAGAGATATGCTTAAAATGGGGTCATAGATAAAGGAGCAATTATTTCCTCCATGAGCAAAGTGAAAGTACATAGCATAAGGGAAGAATGTTTTTATGGAAAGGGAGACATTTCAACAGAAACTCAAATTATACTCAAAACTCTTACCAATGGGAGACTTAGGGAAATTGGTGGGGACTAGACAATTGACGATGACCCATGAGGAATTGCATGAGCAAAAGGCACAAGGACACCTAAGATGGTAAGAGGTTTAATGGGCTAGAGTACAAGATGCAGGGGGAGGGAGATGAAGCCAGAGAGTAGTCTGGGGTTTAGATCATATTCTGTGGACACTATAGGGTCAAAAAGATTCACATGGTTAAGCCTTTATTTTTAAACTCATAGACACAGACAATAGTATGGTGATTACCAGAAGGAAAGGGGGTTGGGGGGAGGTAGAATAGGGTATGGGGGGATAAATGGTGACAGAAGACGACTTGACTTGGGGTGGTGAACAATACAATATACAAATGATGCACTACAGAACTGTACACCTGAAACCTATGATTTTATTAACCAATTTCACCCCAATAAATTCAATAAAAAGAAAAAAAACTTTATTTAAAAAATAAAATGTGTATAAGCAATGAATTAAAAGGAGGATTAGAGACTGGTAGCAGAGAAGACAGAGGATGGTGCAACAGTCCAGGCCAAAGATGAGGACCTGAACAGGGGCAGTAGGTATAGGAAGAGAAAAAAACTAAAGAATGAATGAGAGGCTTTCCAGTCTAGTTGGCGACTAACAGAATATGTAAATGAAAAAAAGACATGTTTGAGGATGACTTTCAAAATTTCTATTAGGCTGAACCATGTGAAATTGTCTCTTTTTGTAAGTTGAAAATACTTCAACATCAGCAGTTTCTTAAAGTTAAACCTAACAATGTAAATAATTGGGTAAATGGGGATTATAACTGAGAAAGGGAATCCAGGGAATAAGAGAAAATATTTGTGAAGAGGAAGAACTAATAATCTTGGTTTTAGATGTGTTGCATGTAAATTGCTTCTGGAACACATAGATAGATATTCAGTGGGGAAATCTGCAGTGCAGAAGAACGGTCAGGACTAGAAATTTGCTGGTCGGAGGAGTGTGTGTGGTTAGTTGATGGAAGCCATCACCAAAAGGCTGACTTGAGCCCAAACCATTCCAATTCTACCCTAACACAATGTTTTTCAAACAGGAGCCATCCATGGGTCATAAGATCTATTCAAGCCACAACCTTTAATATCTTTAAAAATGAAATAGGACAGAATTTTTAAAAAATCAGAGTGTACCACACATAATAAGTACTGTTTCAAATATGTATGTGTTTTTGTGTAGCAGATTACAGTGTAAAAAGTATTCTACAGAAAAGAGAAAGAAGGAGAGCAAAAGAATGAAAGGGAGGGCAGAAGCGGGGGAGAGAGGGAGGGAGGGAAGGAAGGAAGGAAGGAAGGAAGGAAGGAAGGAAGGAAGGAAGGAAGGAAGGAAGGAAGGAAGGAAGGAAGGAAGGAAGGAAGGAAAGAGGCAGGTAAGGGGGAGAGAGGGGAAGAAAGGAGAGGGACAGAGAGACGGGGTGGGAGGAAGGGAAAGGAGAAAGGTAGGGTGGGATGGATGGATAACTCTAATACACATGTCTAAATTGCTGAAATGCAGAAAAGGCAAGCTATGGAAAACCAGGAATTCTACAGAACAATAAAATAAAGAAAAATAAGGAGTTATTTTAGCACTCCTTTATGTAAAATACCAGCCACAGAGAATTCCCACATGTGGAAATCTCCTTTCTCACCTCCAGAGAATACTTTGGTGTTCCCACTGTTGAAAGCCAGGCAAAAAATGTTGGAATGATGCTCTCCTTTCAGCTGTATGGGCTTGACTCTGGAGTGGATAGCTTGTTCCATGTGCCATAGCAGAACCCGGCGATCATCTCCTCCTTAAGAAAGGAGTAAGAATCTAGCATTAAAACAGCTGATATTTCAAGGCTGACACTTGGTTTTGCCAGCCTTGAATCCCATCTTTTCCAAAACTGCATCTCCCCAACTCCAAGAGATTCTGATGGGCAAATAAACCCAGGACTTGGCCCCTTATCTATCAGTATATACTGGTTCCTAAGCCACTCACTTTTCCCTAGGAATTAAATCTTGAACAGACAATACAGAAAAGGAAAGGAAGAAGCACTGATAGTGAAATTCTCAAAGCCACCCTGTTCCTGATTTTCCAGAGACCTTAGTTGTTTAAATAGTTCTTCATTTACTACCTAAAATCCTCCCATTAATATCTTTTTGGAGGGAGGGGGGAATCTAACAATACCTGAGTTGGTTTCTAGTGCTTTCAACAAAAGAACTTAAATATTTGTAGCACACTAGTTTTCAAAGCATTCTCCTTGATCTTATCTCATTGACTGTGGGACACCACACAAATGATAACTAAGGAACTGCCTGTCACAGTAGCAGAATCTAGACAGAACCCAGGTCTCATGAACCTCAGTCGAGCTCTTTCCTCTCTGCATAACTCTCAAAAGTCTGAATTACATGAGCTATATTACACTGTGTGAGTCAGCTCCTATAGAATAAGAATATTTATGTTCTATGTATTATGTATTCTTTATATTTGAAGACACATTAAAAATGTCTGGAAGAGTGGAACAAACTGTTGACAGTGGTTACTACTTCCAGGGAATAAGATTAAAAGAGAGGTAGAGGACAGATTGCAGTTTTTAGTTTTACTTTATGTATTTGGCACTGCTTCACTTTAACAAGCTTTTATTGTATTCCTAATAAAATTTTAAGTTACAACAGGCGCAAACATAGGCAGCAAACCATAGCAAACTCTATACTTCTGTCTCCCCACCTCCATTCAGTACAGCAGACACAAATTGTAGCACATCCATACCACGCAGAGACATACTGCATAGCCATTAAATCAATAAATCTTTAAGAACTGGGAAAGATGTCCAAAGGTCTTTGTTAAGGAGGAAAATAAGGTGTAAAATAGTATGTGTACCAGCATCCACTCACGTAAAACAGTTTTTAAAAAGCCGCATGAGAGCGGGAAGCTTTTCAATTTTGTTCACTGCAAAGTCCCCAGCACCTAAGTAAGTGCCCCCAAAAGTAGACATTGAATGAATATACTTAAACTTGCATACCTGTGCTTTTTAAAAAAAGGTTTTATTTATTTTTAGAGAGAGGGTAAGGGAGAAAGAAAAGCATCAATCAGTTGCCTCTTGCACACCCCAAACCGGGGACCTGGCTGGAAACTCAGGCACGTGCCCTGACGGAGAATCGAACCAGCAACATCTTGGTTCACAGGCTGGTGCTGAGTCCACTGAGCCACACCAGCCAGGCCATATCTGTGCCTTTAGTTGCTTATCTAGATGGCTATAAAAGAAGTTTTGTATAATGGTGACCACATCTAGGCTAGGGTTTTGAAGACTTTTTAAAAATGTGTAAAATATATATACAATAAAATTTATCATTTTAACCATTTTTTAAAAGATTTATTTACTTTAGAGAAAAGAGAAGGGAGGGGGAAAGAGAGGGAAACATCAGTGTGCCTAAGATACATCATCAGCTGCCTCTCACGTACTCCCAATGGAGGACCCAGCCCACAACCTAGGCATGTGCCCTGACCAGGAATGGAACTGGCAGCCTTTCAATTTGCAGGCCGAGCGCAATCCACTGAGCCACACCAGCCAGGGCCCATTTTAACCAATTTCAAGTGTACAATCCAGTAGCATTATGAACATTTGCATTGTTGTGCAACCATTACCATTATCTATCTCCAGAACTTTTATGTCATCCTAAACTGAAACTCTGCATCCAATAAACAGTAACTTCCACTTGCCTCCAATAACCACCATTTTACTTTAGACGTCTATGAATTTGACTCTTCTAGGTGTCCCATATAAATGGAATCATTTATTTGTCCTTCTTTGTCTGGCTTATTCATTTAGCATGTCTTCAAGGACCATACATATTGTAACATATATCAGAATTTCATTCCTTCTTAAGGCTGGATAAATATTCCATTATATATAAACACCCCCCCCCCCATTTTGTTTATCCATTCATTAATGGACATTTTGGCTATTGTGAATAATGTTGCTAAGAACACTGATAGAGAAATATCTGTTCAAGTTCCTGCTTTCAATTTTTTTGAGTATTATATACTGTTGAGAAACTTATGTTTTATTTATAACTTCCTGTACTACTTGACTTTTTGCCATAAACATATTTCCTTTAATAACTGGTCAAATTATACTCATTCTTCCTCCTCTAGAAAAAAGTTGTCCTTTTCCTTGAGTTCCTTTGTTTCTTGAATTCTTCCTTCCATTCCTGGTCAACATCAATTGTCTCCTTCCTGAAATTATTTCATTGTCTACCAGACGCCCTCTTAAGTGTGGTCCACAACATTTTGTGTTTACAATTTGCCTATTTCAACTATGAGTTCACTGACCTGGGGTAAGGTTATCTAAATTCTATCTCTCTTAAAAGTTAAGGTAATGAAAATAAAGGTTTTTGTTTTATTTTATTAATATTTTTTAATTCTGACCCAAGGATATATTTATTGGTTTTATTTTTTAAAAGCAATTTATTTATTGATTTTGAGAGAGAGAGAGATTATTTGTTGTTCCACTTACTTATGCATTCATTAGTTGATTCTTACATGTGCCCTGACCAGGGATGGAACCTGCAACACTAGCATATTGGGCAATGCTCTAACTAATTGAGCTACCCCACCAGGGCTGTTTACTGAGTTTAGAGAGAGAGGAAGGGAGCAAGAAAAACATCAATGTGAGAGAGAAACATCAACTAGTTGCCTCCCTTACATGTCATGACCAAGGATCAAATCTTCAACCTAGGGTATGTACCCTGACAGGGAATCAAACCTGCCATCTTTTTCATTTATAGGACAACGTTGCAACCAACTGAACCACCCAGCCAGGGCTATTGTTTTATTTTAAAGAAAAATGACATAAGGAGTTGTTTACTCTATTAATAAATTTATGCAGTGGGCACCTTAGTTCTCCATAGTCTCTTCATGTTTTTCCCCAACACTGAGGCCCCAGGTCAAGGGGGCCTATCACTACTTTTGATGCTGTGTATCTTATACAAATTAGAGAAGCATTTCTTTGTGCCCAAGTCTCTGTAAAAAGTGGAAAATTAAAAGATACAAGCCCATATATTTCTTCTACTCACTCATGTTTCTAATCTAATCTCCCTAAGCCTAAGTTTCATCAAATATAAAATGAGGATCATAATAGCTCTACTGTCATGGATTTTATAGATTATAAAGCCAAGTACCATAGAGTTAAGTAAGTTGCCAGCATCATACAGTAAGTAAAGTGGTTAAGATTCAAAAGCAAGCAGTTAAGACTCCAAGTTCCCACTCTTAACCACTACCCTAAACTGCCTGCCTTACAGAACAAAAATGAACTATAAGCAATAAAACATATTCATCTGACAGACAACTGCCTTGGTAGCAAACTCAAAAATGTGCAGGTGAGAATAAAACAAGGGACCACAGCAATAAAAACAGAAGTCAACTTAACTGGAACAATCTGAAGGCCCATGGTTAGAAAACCTTTACATTTCAAGAGTACTCTTTCCCAACGATTTCATGAGTAATAAGCAAAAACTTTGCAGACCCTCACACCATACTGTAACAAAAGTGATTATTTAACATTCTTATTTTGTAGCCTGGAAAACCTTAAGCACAGAGGGAAAGAATTTGCTTTGCCTTTCCTTCTCAGAACAGCCCAGCACAGTACAGAATTGAGAGAGCACTTTGAATCAAATGCTTCAGCCGCACAACACTGTTCGAAGAGCAACTAAAACATTTCAATATCCACCAACAGAAGCCTGGTTAAAATTATTGTTCAGTGAAAAAAGCCAAACACAAAAGGACAAATACTGTATGATTTCATGGATATGAGATATCTAGAGTAGTCAAATTCACAGTGACATAAAGTAGAATGTCACAGGTGGCTGCCAATGCCTGGGGTGAGGGGCAATAGAGAGATGTTTAACAGGTATATGCATAGAGTTTCAGTTTTGCAAGATGAAAAAGCTCTGTAGATGGATGGTGTCGATGGCGGCACAACACTGTGAATTACTTAATGCCATTGTACAGTACACTTTAAAATAGTTTTAAAACTAAATTATGTGTCATCTGTATTATATAAATTTGTATTACTATAAAAAATGCAAAAAAATTTATAGTTCAGATAAGAACTATGGATTATGCAGCAACCCCCCCACTCCCAAATGCATGAGGCAGCTCTGTCTGTAATGACATGGAATAATTACTAAGAGATAAAGTGTTAGTAATTAATTATATTAACTATTAGAAACACTTTCTTTAAAAAAAAAATGGCACAATGGAATTAGATCCAGAATTTAGGGTTTCATTATTTTAAGATTTTATTTATTTATTTTAGCGAGAGGGGAAGGGAGAGAGAAAGAGAGGGAGAGAAACATCAATTTGTGAGAGAAACAGTGACTAGCTGCCTTTTGAACATGCCTGCACCAAGGATGGAACCCACAACCCAGGCATGTGCCCTGACTGGAAATCGAACCAGCAACCTTTCATTTTGTGGTATGACACCCAACCAGCTGAGCCAGGCCAGTCAGGGCTTGGGTTTCATCTTTGATAGGCAGCAAAGGGTACAGGAAGCACAAGGTCTGGAATAAAAGTATTGGGTTGGCCAAAAGCCCATTTAGTTTTTTCCATAAAATAAAAGACACATTTCTCATTTTCACTAATAACTTTATTGATTTGGCTCTTCTGAGTATGTCAGCTATCTCCTGCATGGTATAACGTTGGTTGTTCTCAATTAATGTCTAAATTTGATCGCTACCAACGTTAAATGGTCTCCCCAAACACGGAGCATCATTCAGAGAGAAATTTCCAACCCAAAACTTTGCAAACCAC